TTCCTCACAATTTGCATTTTTTTCTTGCAATTCGCAGCTTATTTCTCGCAATTCTGACCTTTTTCCTCGTAATTCGCAATTTTTTCCTCGGAATTCAGACTTTTTTCTCTCAAATCGCAATTTATTCTCGCAATTCCTCACACACTTTTCACACACAAATCGCACACACTTTTTTCTCGCAATTCTGACTTTTTTCCTCGAAAATCTGTATTTTCTTCGTGCAATTCTGACTTTCTCACTATTCTGACTTTTTTTCTTGTAATTCAGACTTTTTTCCTCACAATTCGCAATTTTTTCTCGCAATTCAGTTTTTTTCCTCACAATTTTTTCAGACTTTCACAATTTATTCTCGCAATTTTGTCATTTTTTTTCTCACAATTCTGACTTTTCTTCGCAATTCGCAATTTTTTTCCTGCAATTTCGACTTTTTTTCTTACAACTCTGATTTTTTTTTCTCATAATTCTGATAATGGGGGGAACATGAATGCCTTTGAAAAAGTGATTTGGATGCTCTGGAGATGTTTTCTGTGAGATGTGTGACTCCCATAATGCTTTTTTCTGTCTACTTTACAATGCAACAGTGGGAACATTTTGTCCACACACAGACGCTCAGCGTCACGGGCGGATCAGCTAACACATTTCTCTCCATAATTGGCGTGGCGACATCCAATCAGAGCGCGGCAGCGGACAGTATTAGTCTCTCATTGGCAGAGATCCAGTGCCCTTGCGCACGCACGCATGAGCCGAAGGGAAGTGACATGCGACGCACACTTCTCCTTTAACTGACCTCTCTTATCTGCGCCACAGAAACACCAACTCGCATGTGTTCGGACACTCAGCCGTAAATAAGACACTCTCTGAGAGCTACTTTCAGACCTCACCTTTAACAGCCTGTTGATCACACAGAACTGAGGAGGTCTGGAAGAATCTCCTCCCCGGCCGGCGCAGCGAGGAGAAGTTCACACAGCGCAACACACACGACATGTCTCCGGGGTCTCTGAGGAACACAACACACCGTCTCAACAGCACACACACACACACACACTCCGTCAGACGCAGACTCGCATGTTCCAGCAGAGACTCAAAAAACCTGTCGCTCTCGGACGGCCACGCGAGACCTGTGACGAGAGAGCAGGGAAAGATGCCAAGACACACTCCACACTCACACAGCTTTACTGCATTAATAAACCAATCTGTACGTTAAAGAGGACCTGTGATGCTTTTCTCCATCGTCATCATCTTCATCATCATCTTCATGTTGCTGTTTGAGCATGAAGAAGCTCCAGTTCTTCTCTATATCAGTGTCAGTGTTTCTGAACTCCTGAAACGCCTCCATTGTAGTCTTGAGTTTCTTCCGGGAACGAACACGTCACAATATTCCTCACAATTCTGACTTTTTCCTCACAATTCTGACTTTTTTCTCGCAATTCGGACTTTTTTCCTCACAATTCGGACTTTTTTCTCGCAATTCTGACTTTTTTCTCACAATTCTGACTTTTTTCTCGCAATTCTGACTTTTTTCCACACAATTCTGACTTTTTTCTCACAATTCTGACTTTCTTCCTCACAATTCTGACTTTTTTCTCACAATTCTGACTTTTTTCTCACAATTCTGACTTTTTTTCACGCAATTCTGACTTTTTTCCACACAATTCTGACTTTTTTCTCACAATTCTGACTTTTTTTCACGCAATTCTGACTTTTTTCCACACAATTCTGACTTTTTTCTCGCAATTCTGACTTTCTTCCACACAATTCTGACTTTTTCCCCCACAATTCTGACTTTTTTCCTCACAATTCGGACTTTTTCCTCACAATTCGGACTTTTTTCTCGCAATTCGGACTTTTTTCCTCACAATTCGGACTTTTTTCTCGCAATTCTGACTTTTTTCTCACAATTCTGACTTTTTTCTCGCAATTCTGACTTTTTTCCACACAATTCTGACTTTTTTCTCACAATTCTGACTTTCTTCCTCACAATTCTGACTTTTTTCTCACAATTCTGACTTTTTTCTCACAATTCTGACTTTTTTTCACGCAATTCTGACTTTTTTCCACACAATTCTGACTTTTTTCTCGCAATTCTGACTTTCTTCCTCACAATTCTGACTTTTTTCTCACAATTCTGACTTTTTTCTCACAATTCTGACTTTTTTTCACGCAATTCTGACTTTTTTCCACACAATTCTGACTTTTTTCCACACAATTCTGACTTTTTTCTCACAATTCTGACTTTCTTCCTCACAATTCTGACTTTTTTCTCGCAATTCTGACTTTCTTCCTCACAATTCTGACTTTTTTCTCACAATTCTGACTTTTTTCTCACAATTCTGACTTTTTTTCACGCAATTCTGACTTTTTTCCACACAATTCTGACTTTTTTCCACACAATTCTGACTTTTTTCTCACAATTCTGACTTTCTTCCTCACAATTCTGACTTTTTTCTCACAATTCTGACTTTTTTCTCACAATTCTGACTTTTTTTCACGCAATTCTGACTTTTTTCCACACAATTCTGACTTTTTTCTCGCAATCCTGACTTTCTTCCTCACAATTCTGACTTTTTTCACACAATTCTGACTTTTTTCTCACAATTCTGACTTTTTTTCACGCAATTCTGACTTTTTTCCACACAATTCTGACTTTTTTCTCGCAATTCTGACTTTCTTCCGCACAATTCTGACTTTTTTCCTCACAATTCTGACTTTTTTCTCACAATTCTGACTTTTTTCTCACAATTCTGACTTTCTTCCTCACAATTCTGACTTTTTTCTCACAATTCTGACTTTTTTCTCACAATTCTGATTTTCTTCCTCATAATTCTGACTTTTTTCTCACAATTCTGACTTTTTTCTCACAATTCTGACTTTCTTCCACACAATTCTGACTTTTTTCTCACAATTCTGACTTTCTTCCACACAATTCTGACTTTTTTCTCGCAATTCTGACTTTCTTCCTCACAATTCTGACTTTTTTCTCACAATTCTGACTTTTTTCTCACAATTCTGACTTTTTTCCACACAATTCTGACTTTTTTCTCACAATTCTGACTTTTTTCTCGCAATTCTGACTTTTTTTACTCACAATTCTGACTTTTTTACTCACAATTCTGACTTTTTACTCACAATTCTGACTTTTTCCTCACAATTCTGACTTTTTTTCTCACAATTCACTTTTTTCTCGCAATTCGGACTTTTTTCTCGCAATTCTGACTTTTTCTCGCAATTCTGACTTTTTTCCTCACAATTCTGACTTTTTTCTCGCAATTCTGACTTTTTTCTCACAATTCTGACTTTTTTCTCACAATTCGGACTTTTCTCCTCACAATTCTGACACTTTTCTCGCAATTCTGACTTTCTTCCACACAATTCTGACTTTTTTCCTCTCAATTATGACTTTTTCCTCGCAATTCAGATTTTTTCCTTGCAATTCTGCCGTTTTTCCCTCGTTATTCTGAGAAAAAAAAAGCTCTTCAAAGTTCCAGTTCTCCTCTATATCAGTGTCAGTGTTTCTGAACTTCCTGAAAGTCTCGAGTTTCTTCCGGGAACGAATACGTCACAATATTCCTCATTTAAATAATTCATATGCAGAATAAAGGGATATTATTATGTTATATAATATTATTATATTCCTATTTTTGTTTATGGAATTTTGCAGTGTGTATTCTAAATAATATATCGGTGCACATCATTATTGTGTTAATCTCTTCTCTGATGATGTGGGTGGGGCTTTAACCTGTCACTCACATGAGATCAGCCAATAGCAAACCACAACCATCCAATCAATTCCCCACAGACAAAATTAAGCTCCGCCCACATTTGTTCTTATTCCAGAAGCGTTTGACTCAGATATACGACACAATAGAGAATAAAAAAACATCCATTTAATGCTGACTTCAAATGCATTTGAATTTTTCCTCATATCTATTAGATTTCCACCCATGTATTTCAATGATATCAGCTCCGACTGTGTTCCAAAATTGAGTAATAGTGTTACGGCACACTATGTAGGATGCAATTGTATAAAAAGCAGTATGCAACAATATTTAATTTTTTAAGCAAGCTTTAAGTAAAATTGCCTGAACTTTGCAAGTCTAATAAAAAAAAACGAGTCAAGAGAGAGATATTAAAAATCTTTGAGTTCATTTGTGACAGAAAACGGAAGGTGAAGTTGAGCATGACACATTCTCACACAGTGAGCGCATGCAGACTGTAATACAGAGATGAGTATGCATACTGTGCACTGTAAGAAGAGGAGTGTTATTCACATCTCTACTCCCATTTCAACAGAACTTCAGTTCCTTCTCAGTCTTTCAAGCATCATCTTATAGTCTTTTAGGTAAAGCATTCATTATGCATGTTTAAAAAAGCGTTCTGCATGCTTCATTTAATCATGTGAAGCATCTGATGATGTGCAACTGTACATCATCCCCCTGTTCAGGTTCTGGTTGTGTGCTGATGTCTGATTGGCTCACGTGTTCGGGTTCAGCTCGTCCTGTCCTGACGCCCAGTCCTCAAGCTCCGCCTCTCCGCTGGTGATAATGGGCGTGTCCATCGATAGGCCACGCCTCTTCCCAAACACACGCTCCTGCAGCTCGATGATGTCATGCCGGATATCTGCCATCATCAGTAACAGGAAGTCGAAGGACCCTGGAGGCCCCTGAAGACGACAGACAGATGCAGTGTCTTCATTTTATTAACTATATTTCATAGTTTTTGTCCAACAGCAGCAGCAGCAAAATTATTAGTAATTATTAGTGTTGCAGTTTCAGGTTTGATTCTTTGCTTCTGTGTGAATGAAAGTCACTGTGCAAGGTTATTACTGTTAACTACAACTAACATTAATACCATAAAAATAAACATTTTGTCTACTTGACATAAAATATCATCTAAAAAAAAATATATATATATATTTTAGCTAGCTTCCAAGGATTTCTCATTAAGTTTAAGTTGATGTGCTAAAATAACTAAAAAAAACAATTAATAAAAACTATTTACACACACATATATATATATATATATATATTTATATACATCTATATATATACTTTATATGTAAAAAATACGAAACTACGAAAACTTCCAAAAATTCAAATGAAACCAGAAAATATAAAAATAAAAACCAATTCAAACTATTAATAAAAACTAAACTGAAATAAAATAACATTAAACAAACATGTATGTTTAGTTTAACGATACACTAAAATAAACTAAAACTGAAATCAAATTAAATATATAAATGTAATAAAAATGTATTATAATAATATAAAAAAACATATATAAATGACAAAATTACTAAAACTTTAACAAAAATTTAAATGAAAACAAAAAATATAAAAATAAAAACTTATTCAAACTATTAATAAAAACTATAATAGTATCTCAATGATACTAAAATAAAGCGATCACGTCATCATTGCTGACTAATAATAGGCCTAATCAAATAATAAACTTTTTTTTAAACAATCTCTTACAATAATAATTAAACAATCTATAATATACTGGCTACATTCTTTTTTTTAAATAATAATATATCATAAAATCATATATAAAAAAATGATATAATAATAAAATCTTAAATATTTTCAAATTTAAATCTTAAATTGCATAAAAAAATAAAGTTCACAACAAAAGTAAAAAACTAAAAACAAACAAACACTGAATGACCACAAATGTTAAATAAGTTTAGTTCAGTGCTTCAGGCTCAGCGGATTACATCAGCTCAATATTTCGGTTCAGAACAAACCCTGACAGAACAATCAGCACAGCAAACTGCACAAATATTTAATATTTCAATATATATACACTACCGTTCAAAAGTTTGGGGTCGGTATGATTTTAAATACTTTTAAAAGAATTCTCTTCTGCTAACCATGGCTGCGCTTATTTGATTAAAAATTTTCAGCATCATTACTCCAGTCTTCAGTGTCACATGATCCTTCACAAATCAGTATAATGTGAGGATCTGATGATCAAGAAACATTTATGATTATTATCAATGTTGAAACAGTTGTTGGTCTGTCAGTTATACAGTTTTTTTTTTTTTTTTTGGATTCTTTGATGAATAGGGTTAGGGTTAGAATCTTTTGTAACATTATAAATGTCTTTACTGTCACTTTCGATCAAATTAATTATTCCTTGATAAATAAAAGTATTGATTTCTTTCCTCCAAAAAATAAAAATAAAATTCTCACTGACCCCAAACTTTTGAACGGTAGTGTATATAATATAATAAATAATATTCCCGTGTCGTGTGAAGAACGTACCGGAGATCCTCTCGGTCCAGGGAAACCTCTGTCACCCTGCAGAGAAACATTCATACATCACCATTCATCTGAGACACATGCTATAAAATCATAATTATCATTAAAATGCCATCATAGTTTAATATGGAGTTCATTTGTTCAGACACGTGCCTTCTGTCCATCTTTCCCCGGCGCTCCTGGAGATCCCTGTACACACACACACACACACACACACACACACACACGAGAAGATTCAGCAAACTCCCACAGAAAACTAATAAAGAAGACATGAACATTAACCCTGTAAAGCCTGACATATGAAACAACACATGTTTATTGAATCTTTAGACAACAAGTATCATATTTGATACATCATTTTTTTCCACAAGAGGTCGACAAACACACCCAATAAGATATTTTGAGCTGAATTAAAAGGGTTAAAAGAATTAAAATAGTTATTTTGTTAGGAATGTGCTTAAATTACTATTTGTTTATTATTTATTCATCAAATCTAGTAATTTAAAGGTAAACAAATTTTTTTTTAAAAAATTAAAATTAAAAATATCCCTCAAAAATTGCATGAAAGAAAAAAAAGAAAAAAAAAAGAAAAGCTTTCTGGACACAAAAAGAAAAGTGTAATTTAAGGGCTTCGGGTCATTTTGACCCCCGAGGGAAGGATGGTGGCTGTAATGAAACTCCTCTGAGATCTGAGAGTGTGTGTGTGAGCCAGATTCACCAGCGGCCCCCCTCGGCCCTGAGATCTGAGAGTGTGTGTGAGAGCCAGATTCACCAGCGGCCCCCCTCGGCCCTGAGATCTGAGAGTGTGTGTGAGAGCCAGATTCACCAGCGGCCCCCGCCGGCCCTGAGATCTGAGAGTGTGTGTGAGAGCCAGATTCACCAGCGGCCCCCATCGGCCCTGAGATCTGAGAGTGTGTGTGAGAGCCAGATTCACCAACGGCCCCCGCCGGCCCTGAGATCTGAGAGTGTGTGTGAGAGCCAGATTCACCAGCGGCCCCCGCCGGCCCTGAGATCTGAGAGTGTGTGTGAGAGCCAGATTCACCAGCGGCCCCCGCCGGCCCTGAGATCTGAGAGTGTGTGTGAGACCCAGATTCCCCAGCGGCCCCCATCGGCCCTGAGATCTGAGAGTGTGTGTGTGAGCCAGATTCACCAGCGGCCCCCATCGGCCCTGAGATCTGAGAGTGTGTGTGTGAGCCAGATTCCCCAGCGGCCCCCATCGGCCCTGAGATCTGAGAGTGTGTGTGAGAGGCAGATTCACCAGCGGCCCCCATCGGCCCTGAGATCTGAGAGTGTGTGTGTGAGCCAGATTCACCAGCGGCCCCCGCCGGCCCTGAGATCTGAGAGTGTGTGTGAGAGCCAGATTCACCAGCGGCCCCCCTCGGCCCTGAGATCTGAGAGTGTGTGTGAGAGCCAGATTCACCAGCGGCCCCCGCCGGCCCTGAGATCTGAGAGTGTGTGTGAGAGCCAGATTCACCAGCGGCCCCCATCGGCCCTGAGATCTGAGAGTGTGTGTGAGAGCCAGATTCACCAGCGGCCCCCGCCGGCCCTGAGATCTGAGAGTGTGTGTGTGAGCCAGATTCACCTGAGGCCCCCGTCGGCCCTGAGATCTGAGAGTGTGTGTGAGAGCCAGATTCCCCAGCGGCCCCCGCCGGCCCTGAGATCTGAGAGTGTGTGTGAGAGCCAGATTCACCAGCGGCCCCCCTCGGCCCTGAGATCTGAGAGTGTGTGTGTGAGCCAGATTCCCCAGCGGCCCCCATCGGCCCTGAGATCTGAGAGTGTGTGTGAGAGCCAGATTCACCAGCGGCCCCCGCCGGCCCTGAGATCTGAGAGTGTGTGTGAGAGCCAGATTCACCAGCGGCCCCCGCCGGCCCAGAGATCTGAGAGTGTGTGTGTGAGCCAGATTCACCAGCGGCCCCCATCGGCCCTGAGATCTGAGAGTGTGTGTGTGAGCCAGATTCACCAGCGGCCCCCATCGGCCCTGAGATCTGAGACCGTGTGTGTGAGAGCCAGATTCACCAGCGGCCCCCATCGGCCCTGAGATCTGAGAGTGTGTGTGTGAGCCAGATTCCCCAGCGGCCCCCATCGGCCCTGAGATCTGAGAGTGTGTGTGAGAGCCAGATTCACCAGCAGCCCCCGCCGGCCCTGAGATCTGAGAGTGTGTGTGAGAGCCAGATTCACCAGCGGCCCCCATCTGCCCTGAGATCTGAGAGTGTGTGTGTGAGCCAGATTCACCAGCGGCCCCCGTCGGCCCTGAGATCTGAGAGTGTGTGTGTGAGCCAGATTCACCAACGGCCCCCGCCGGCCCTGAGATCTGAGAGTGTGTGTGAGAGCCAGATTCACCAGCGGCCCCCGCCGGCCCTGAGATCTGAGAGTGTGTGTGAGAGCCAGATTCACCAGCGGCCCCCGCCGGCGCTGAGATCTGAGAGTGTGTGTGTAAGCCAGATTCACCAGCGGCCCCCATCGGCCCTGAGATCTGATAGTGTGTGTGAGAGCCAGATTCACCAGCGGCCCCCGCCGGCCCTGAGATCTGAGAGTGTGTGTGAGAGCCAGATTCACCAGCGGCCCCCATCGGCCCTGAGATCTGAGAGTGTGTGTGAGAGCCAGATTCACCAGCGGCCCCCATCGGCCCTGAGATCTGAGAGTGTGTGTGTGAGCCAGATTCCCCTGCGGCCCCCATCGGCCCTGAGATCTGAGAGTGTGTGTGTGAGCCAGATTCACCAACGGCCCCCATCGGCCCTGAGATCTGAGAGTGTGTGTGAGAGCCAGATTCACCAGCGGGCCCCATCGGCCCTGAGATCTGAGAGTGTGTGTGTGAGCCAGATTCCCCAGCGGCCCCCATCGGCCCTGAGATCTGAGAGTGTGTGTGAGAGCCAGATTCACCAGCAGCCCTGAGATCTGAGAGTGTGTGTGAGAGCCAGATTCACCAGCGGCCCCCGCCGGCCCTGAGATCTGAGAGTGTGTGTGAGAGCCAGATTCACCAGCGGCCCCCGCCGGCCCTGAGATCTGAGAGTGTGTGTGTGAGCCAGATTCACCAGCGGCCCCCATCGGCCCTGAGATCTGAGAGTGTGTGTGAGAGCCAGATTCACCAGCGGCCCCCGCCGGCCCTGAGATCTGAGAGTGTGTGTGAGAGCCAGATTCACCAGCGGCCCCCATCGGCCCTGAGATCTGAGAGTGTGTGTGAGAGCCAGATTCACCAGCGGCCCCCATCGGCCCTGAGATCTGAGAGTGTGTGTGTGAGCCAGATTCACCAACGGCCCCCATCGGCCCTGAGATCTGAGAGTGTGTGTGAGAGCCAGATTCACCAGCGGGCCCCATCGGCCCTGAGATCTGAGAGTGTGTGTGTGAGCCAGATTCCCCAGCGGCCCCCATCGGCCCTGAGATCTGAGAGTGTGTGTGAGAGCCAGATTCACCAGCAGCCCTGAGATCTGAGAGTGTGTGTGAGAGCCAGATTCACCAGCGGCCCCCGCCGGCCCTGAGATCTGAGAGTGTGTGTGTGAGCCAGATTCACCAGCGGCCCCCATTGGCCCTGAGATCTGAGAGTGTGTGTGTGAGCCAGATTCACCAGCGGCCCCCGCCGGCCCTGAGATCTGAGAGTGTGTGTGTGAGCCAGATTCACCAGCGGCCCCCATCGGCGCTGAGATCTGAGAGTGTGTGTGTGAGCCAGATTCACCAGCGGCCCCCGTCGGCCCTGAGATCTGAGAGTGTGTGTGAGAGCCAGATTCACCAGCGGCCCCCATCGGCCCTGAGATCTGAGAGTGTGTGTGTGAACCAGATTCCCCAGCGGCCCCCATCGGCCCTGAGATCTGAGAGTGTGTGTGAGAGCCATATTCACCAGCGGCCCCCACCGGCACTGAGATCTGAGAGTGTGTGTGAGAGCCAGATTCACCAGCGGCCCCCGCCGGCCCTGAGATCTGAGAGTGTGTGTGTGAGCCAGATTCACCAGCGGCCCCCATCGGCGCTGAGATCTGAGAGTGTGTGTGTGAGCCAGATTCACCAGCGGGCCCCATCGGCCCTGAGATCTGAGAGTGTGTGTGTGAGCCAGATTCACCAGCGGCCCCCATCGGCCCTGAGATCTGAGAGTGTGTGTGTGAGCCAGATTCCCCAGCGGCCCCCATCGGCCCTGAGATCTGAGAGTGTGTGTGAGAGCCAGATTCACCAGCGGCCCCCATCGGCCCTGAGATCTGAGAGTGTGTGTGAGAGCCAGATTCACCAGCGCAGTGTTAATTTCGTTGACGAAAATAACGACGAAAATTATTCGTCAACGACATTTTTTCACAGACGAAAACGAGACGATAACTAAATAAAACCTAGTTTTGAATGACAAAGACTATGACGAAAATCTATTGACATTTTCGTCAACGAATAAAAACTAGACGAAAATGTTAGATAGTGACGATTTGGGAAGCGATCCGTCAGAACTGATGTCCTGCGTGTGTGGTAGATGCGCACATTTGTAGGCTACTGTAACGTGATCTACCCCGCGGTCATAAAACGTTAAAAAATGTGAACGTCTGGGAGAATGAGTAGAGCAGACATATAGATCTCTGAATAAGAGTGACGATGCAAAAAAGAGCTCTATTCGGTGCGGTTTTCTGTGCGCACACACCTAACCCGAAGCGTGCAGTCATGCACAATACACCTACAGCGCGCGAGTAGGCTACTGAATTGAGCTCTCTTTCGTGTCTGAATGGAGAAATACACAACAATATGTCTAAATGTCCTTTTTGGAGAGTATTCATGTAAACTATGCTGGTTATGTCTTAAACTGTGAGTGTGTCGGATGTGCATCAGTGCAATTGTATCCGCATGTCATTGGACATGATCCGACGTCTTAAAGTGACAGTGGCAATAAACCTAATGCGGTCCGTGTCCTTAATTTTGATCAAGCAACAAAAGAAAAAGAGAAAAGCATTCACTGTTTGTTAATAGCTTTAATAAGGATTAATTATATTTAATTCATACAAATAAATATGTCTGCTTGAAAGAATAAAGAATGATGTGTAAGTAGTTATAAGGAATGAATATATCATTCATTGTAAAGAAGACTGTGTTGTACTTTAGGAAAAGTGGTTTTATTTCATTTTAAGATATTTTTTAAGTAACAGCAGTTAAATCTGTATCTGTATTGCATGTTCAAACTTAAAAATCATTCATATTAATAGGTTAATAGATGTTTTCTCCGGGAGTAT